GTTTCCCATTTTGCAGCTCACCATAGAAGAGTTTTTTTGGGGAGCCTGTGATCTGGCATGCGTGCCACATAACCAGCTTAACGAATTTGAAACTTCTTCATCACTAGTGATGGACGAACAACAACATTTATGTACCGGATAAATCATGGGAAGTCAATTTCAACTTTGTCATGTTGACCACCAGCTACAGAGCTGTAGCGGTCCACCCAGCCTTAAAATGAGGCCAGATAAAGTCCTAGAAAGTAAAGGCGGCCAGCGTGATGTTTAGCATATCACCCACTGAGTCTTTAAAATATGTGTCTAGCCCTATATGCCCAATACTTCTCAATGCGTGGAAATAGGTCCTTTACTTACTTTTAATTAAATGTTGACAGCATTACCTGCCGAGTGCCGATTGGTTTATAAAAAAAAAGACTAGCCCTATGTGCCCTTTACTTTTAAAGGTGTGGAAAAAGGTCTTTTACTCACTTTTACTTACATCTTTACAGGACGTTGCATAATCAACTCTAACTGAACGGTTAGCTCTCAGTACCATTGTCGAAACCAACGCAAGACAAACCGTCCGCAGCTGGGATCGAACCCCGGCATTACGAAGCGCTTTCGCAACGCCTAAGCCATAGACGTTGACGAATACAAAAATATATATCTGGCGTAAAAATTATCCTTAGATTTTAACTTGCTGTTCAAATCTGTGATAGTTCTCACTATTCTTGGTTTTTTTTTCTCTTAGGTTGTCAGTTGTGTTTAACATTTTTTTCTATTAAAGTCGAGAATACTTAATTGCGCCAGGTTTTACACTATATGGCTCGGTCTCCCTTCGCAGATCTGCTAGCCTCCTGCGAGGAGCATCGCAAAAAGCTCGAAATCCCTAGGACCTTCGACGATCCCCAGTGATCTCCGTAAAAATTGCACTCCTGAACTGATGGCGCAGCCGAGAAACGAGCTCACGACCTTTAAAGCGCGAGGCAAAGCTCTTGACCACTTCGCGAAAGAGACCCCTAAACAGTTGTGTTACTCCATTAACCTTCACGTAAGCATTAATCTCCAAGGGTTTCCCAAAGTTTGTCCTGGATGCCTCCTCGTATGTTTTGCTGTAGGGGGCGGTTCTGCAGTATGTGCTCAAGGTGTTTGAAATGACATCACAACATTCAGGGCATTGCCCCTAAGCGCTCCGTTCCAATTCGCATCGGCAGAACCCCTCATCACATCCGGCTGCATCACTCTCAACAGACTGTGTTGATCCACGTGCTCCTCCAAATTATACACGCTCTCCCACACGGCCCTAACCACGTTTGCTTTATCATGCCTCAAAATTCTACCACGTTGTGCAGAGATAGCCGGTCTTTTCGCCTGTTCATTTCCCAGCACACTGGCATACTCGGCAAAAAAATCCAGACAGTACTCCTCACCAGTGATCTCTGCAGCGAAGCATGGCACTGCACGAAGCATGCCTGTCCTGACCTTCCTCAGCATGCTTTTTAAGTCCGTTATGATGAGGATATGTATGTGTGTATGTGTGTGTCGTGTTCTCTAAGCAGCGAAAACTGCAGTGACCGCCTCAACCTCCATTCTTAAGCTGATATCATGGTATCATACGCTAAGCTCTGCTGCACTAAACGTCGACCATTAACCGTTGCCTCTTAAAACTGAACCGTCTGTATCAATAACCATATCCTCTGACCGAGCATTATCTTGAATAAATTTCTACTTCTGCACTTCCGACTCAATGGGATTATGACTCCTCCTCTCTTTGGCTAATGCTCTCCAGAATGCTAACTTGTCTGTTTCCGTATTTCGAGACGATAGTGCTATACTGTGCTATGAGGAGCTTTAGGACTCCCGGCCCATGGCGATGGTCAATGTGAGTAGCAGGACACCTCCAGGTTAAGAGAAGTCTTCCACATTTCTGCCATCATGTCCATCTTCATTCTCATTCCATTTCCGACTTAGTCGCTCTACAAAACACGGGCAATAGGATTTTTTTTATTACAAAGCTACTTATATACCTGTGTCATTCATTCTCCGCTTGCACATATCTTTTTTTCTCCTTTAGTAACGCCGGAGCCATGATAGCTTTTATAGTTATTCAATGCTAGTAAATTGTTTAATGTTATGTGTAACAATGTTTTGACTAGAGCAACAAGTGGAATCTTCATCTGAATCTATTATTGTCAACAGAATATTGTGTTTAGCTCACTCGGATCTCAGGGCCACACATCATGGAATTTGAATATCAGAAAACGAGAGGCACTTGTGCACCCACATTCCGGTGAAGTCATTCGGTAAGACTGAAAGCGTTTAATCACTTTATGTCAGTGGCAAAGTTTGACTTTTTCTCAGCTGCAAACAAATATCTAAAGATTGATAGCAATAAAGACATCCAAAAACTTGTTAAACAGTACCTAATAAAAACAAAAAAAAACTAAAAAGACCAGGTTAAAGATCGACTCAGGACAGCAGCAAGAACAGATCAGATGGTGACTCCGGACACCTTGGCTTATGGGAGGTAGTGTAAGTATGATGGGTGCATAGATGTGAGCATGTGTGGAAACACAAGGATAAGTGCGTGTAGTATGAGTGCATTCATGTAAAGGATAGATACATAAGATGTATGTAGGCGAATGGTAAAGAGGCACATATGGACAGAAAAGTGGGAATATAGCTGTGCGAAACGTACAGATGAACGATTACATGGATATAGAAATGTATTGCTGTATGCATGTATATGTGTGTATGAGTGAGTATATACAGTCGAACCTCGCTTAAAAAGCATAATTCGTTCCAGAATCATACTCGTTAAGCGAAACACTCGTTATGCGAAGCAATTTTTCTCATATAAATTAAAATATAAACACGATAATGCATTCCATGTCAAAAAAAAGTCACAAAATGCTATGTATAGGTATACTATACCATTTATTCAAAGAAATGCATTTACATATTGTTAAGGAGAGTGAATCATCTTCATCTTTTCTTCAAACGCGGAACGAACTCACTTAGAATGCGAATTCGATTTGCAGAAGAAAAAAAAAGTCGAAATAATTATGATACATAGCTAATTATTTGTGTACTAGAATGATGTCCAGAGACATTTGTTTTTGTCGACGCTTCAAAATTTAGCGAAAATGCGACACAGCATTATCATTAAATTTGCAGCGCGCATAGCCACTTCCTTATTATGGTGATGCTTCTCAATGTGGGAAGCAACAGTTTCCTATGCTTTCAGCATTTTTCTTTTTTCGCTAGAAGATTGTTGCTTTTCTGTTACCTTCTCCTCCTCTGACAAACTTTCCTCCAAAACGTCTTGCTGTGAAACACAATGCAACTCCATAAGCTTTTCAATGGACAGCTTTTGGCTGTGCTCTTCCACAAGCTCTTCAATTACACTGTTATCCACCTACAATCCCATGATAGTGGCCAAAGACAGAATCTCGTTGACTACAGGTTCCACAGGTACAGTCTCGAACCCCTTAAAGTCACAAATCGACAACACTCTCCGGCCAAAGCTTCCTCCAAGAAGAAGTTAAGGTTCTCTTGGTAACCCCTTCCCCCGCCGTGTCGGTCATCTTGAGGCAGGCAACGATTTGGAAGTGATTTTTCCAAAATTCTGAGAGTGAGGTTAGTCCCTTCAGTCACCTGAAAACAATGCTCAAAGAGTGCTTTAGTGTAGAGCTTCTTAAAGTTAGAAATAACTTGCTGGTCCATTGACTGGAGTAACGGAGTGATGTTGGGAGGCAGAAACTTGATCTTGATTAACTTAAATTCATCAGGGAGGTCATCTTGTAGGACTGGAGGATTCATGTACATATATCACAAGATAACACAAGTTTGAGAAAATGTGTGATCACAAGCGACAGTGCTACTGGAACGAGTGCTAAACACTGATGTAACATGCCCAAAATCTAGGACTTCCCCACTCCTCGCCACTCGTTTTGCGAAACGTCGCTCGTTAAGCGAGTCAATCTTTTACAATTTGTTTTGCTCGTTATGCGAATTACTCGTTATGAGAGGTGCTCGTTAAGCCAGGTTCTACTGTATATATACCAACATGCCACAGCAATTCTCATCGCCGAACATTTGGATCTCAAAGCGTGACCTGGGTGCTCTGGATATATGGTATTTACGAACACCGGAGTTTAGCTGCCAACCCAAACCGACACAGCCGGATCACACACTAACAAATGACGAATAGACCCACTCTAAGGCTCCACAACATTTCACACACATATCCACGACATAACTAACCCGTTCTTATTGCAGGAAGACAACTATAAGACCACTATGGTCACACATGCGAAATATTTTCACATTTCGGAACTATCCAAAATCAAAAACTGTTTTCAGTACTGTTTTTTGGCAAAATAAAATACTCAAAATTTTAAAACTGTATATGATGGTCCAAAGGGCATTATGTAGAAAAGCTCGCTCTCCTACGAAATACACCTGGCCAAATCATTGGGAGACGAAACAAACTGGAAACACCAAGTAAGAAGAGGAAAGACATGCACAAGTAACAACAGGATGGAGGACGAGCGGTCTGAATCGGATGGAAGCATCAAGCCCAGATTCCCTTCCGTATATCAGGATATGTCTTATTTAGATCTTGAGAATTCTCTTTCTTATCGCAAAGATAGATTGCATAAAATATTCTTAATCTTATGAGATGTTCTCGTTACTTTAGCTAATCAATATTCAACTTCTTTAATACTTCTTCCATCTGCTGTTGACGGGGTATCCAATTGATTTAACGTATCAACTTTGCTTGAGGATTGTCCCATTAACTTTGATGCTGCATTTTTTTTGCGGGTGGTTTGGGGGGGGGGGGGGGGCGGGGGGGGGGGGGGGACATAATTTTTTTTTTCAGATTCCTTTTACTTCTGTTTTTTTTTATATTTTTCAAGACCTTTGTTTTGACTTTTTCTTACAATTATATTTATCTTTTCTTGCAGCTGTGTACCATTTTCAGCGATCAAAACTATAAAATAAATAATAATGAAAAGAAAATCGTTAACAATGATCTCAATGTTTCTCATTTAAGTCTGCGAAGCTCCGGCAAGTCAATGAATTCTGGAATTGTTGAGGTGTACAAAGGAGACAAGTGGGGATACGTTTGTGAAGATGGCTGGGATCTGATTGATGCCAACGTCGTGTGCAGAGAGATTGGTTTTACTCGGTAATCAAATCTTATTTTTTTTTTTAAATGTGCTTCGTCTATCTCTTTACAGTTCGCATCTGTTATTTATGTGTTACGGACATCATTATCAAGTGCATTGCCAGCTAAAGTAGGCGTTTGTGCATCTCCGCAGATCTCGTTCTTTCGTGCTCGGGATCAATTCCACTGATGATTTTTCTTCATGCCACTTTCTTAGGCCATCCACCATCTTTTCTCTTGGTCTGCCTCTGCCTCTTCTACAAGTGATATTTCCGGTCGTCACGATATTTTCCAGTGCTCCTTTTCTCATAACATGACCAACGAACTTTTTTTTGTCTCCTCATCGCTCTATATAATGTACTACTTTCATTAGCTATTTCAAGGCAATAAATATTATTTATTCTGGCAGTACAAGATAGTTTCGTAAATTTGAAATTCCGACATACCAGCTTCTATTACGATGTAGCGATTTAGCAGCAGACCGCGCTTTGCGTTGATGTCGGTAATGGTCTCAGTGTGGACCACTAAGTAAGCAGTGTCAAACTGTTGAACGTAAAATTGTTTAGTAAAGTAACAAACAGCTAAAAAAAAAAAAAAAGCTAGTGTTGAGTTGAGCTGAATCATGACCCGACATCACATAAAATAATTTTTTTTTCAGAAAAGCGCCCTTTCTACTTCTTCGGCTGCCACCACCTAGTTCCAATTTTAGTGGTACCAACATTAGTCTGATTCTATTTCCGCCTAGCTTTTTTTCTTAGAGTAAGCCAGATCGTCTGGTCACTTCCCGCTGCATTATTCTCTCCAGACTGTGATGGTCTCCTTGCGCTTCAGCACTTTTTACTCACTCCCAACGAACCTTGACCACCCATAGCTTGTCATGCATCAGTTTACCACCAAGTGGTACATAACTAGCAGTTACCTGTCCGTTTCCCAGCATGCCTTTAATATTAGAGACAATTTTTCAAAGAACGGCAACTACTTAGGACCTCCAAAGCCAAGCTTGCCACCCTGTGTCTTGCTGCTTGTGTCCAATTCTCTCAGCATGTTTTGTGAGTTTGTTACAACCACGACATGTTTCTGCAGCTGATTCTCAAACCATCGAATTGCTTAAGCGACAGCCTTCGCCTCTATTCTGTAACTAGACGTTGTGATTTTATATGCCAAGCTTTGTTGCCCTAAAGGTCGTTCATTCCTTTATTGCTACGAACCCTGTGCGCTCTTCCTGCTATTAAGTTAAAAATTCATCCCCGATTTTTCGTTATTTTGAAGCCCCACCCCGGCTTTTGCCGGGGGCCGCAATATCTCCTGAAGGCTGAACACGGTTTCTGGGACCTCTCCACGGGTGATCCTCATCCGCATGGTGGCACTTTGTGTCACCGGGCGTTTATCACTCTGTGTGATGTCCTGGTGGGGTAGAACTTACTTACTCATGCTTCTTAAAACATAGCTTTTCACATAAAAAAATCACATTATCTAAATAATGAATCACATCAAATACATATTTGCGTTTCTGACTCTGCAGTGACTCCCTGCTAGTTCCCACACCCCTGTTCCGCCTAGAACCCTATAAACCTCTGATTACTGCTCGGACATTTTGACCAACTCCTCTCCTCGCCCAGTTTCTTTCAAGCATGCACACACTCTGAAAGAATCTTCAGCTTGTGCCATCCAAGACTTTCCTCATTTCTGTCTGTTCTGTGTACAGCTTCATACAGGTGGTGTTTTCGTCTGTGGTTACTCTGGGACAAAACCTTGCTTGCAGTATTTTGCAGCAATAGTCTTAAAAACTACAAGGTTACCTTCTTTGAATCACATAGAATTACCCATGAGTTTTCATCATGTAAGAGATTAAGTAATATCATTCGACTTTCTGATGCGATTTAAATTCTTAAATCCATAATCCGTCCATCAGGAGATTATCAAATGCTGGTACGTTATTTGTTCTATCTATGACTGTTGCTGCCATAATCTTGAGTTCACTGCTTCCTCTTTGTCTTTCGTGGCAGGTGCTTAGGCGTGGTCAATGAAGGCTTCCCTGATGGGCTTATATGAAAACTGAGACTGAAGTATCTACTCAGTTTACTTTCTCTTTGACGTTTCTTTTATTAATTGTGTCGCTTGTGGCATAAGCTATAGCAATATTATGGACTTACAATGTCCTTTACTGGTTTTAATCGAGCGAAGAACCAAGTTTAATAATTATAAATAAATAGCCGTACCCGGGCCACGCGTTACTGTGACATTTTTTGGCTAAATGGAAAAGAAAGAAAATAGAAATCGCACGTGCCTAATATGGTTACTGTGCAATCATTTTCTGCGCAGATATAGATATAGTCTTCGATGCACTCCCCCCTCCCCTCCCCCACCAAATCCACCTACTTTCTTCCTCATCGAAGGTTTTTGGAAAAGAAAGACAATAGAAATCGTACGTGTCTAATATAGTTAATGTCGTAATCATTGTCTGCACAGATATAGAGATAGTCTGGGTTGTCGACTTTAAAACACGCACCATATAATAGTGTCTTTATATTAGTGATCTCTTAAATGGTATTATAAGCACAGTTTAAAAAAATGATTTTTTGGTTATCCCATGCTAAAGCTGTTTGTATTTTGATAAGAGACCGTAGTAAAGCTTACTAGTGTACTTTTGAATAACCAAGTAAGTCGTAAAAAATAAGAGTAGCAGAAGTAACGTTAGTAAAATATAAACAAATTAAGAAATGAAAACTTTAAAATCATGTGTTAAGCTCTTTAAGTTAACAATTTCAGTCATCACCCCTACCCTTCCCTATACACCTACTACTGCTCTCTCCCTCTTCAAAGGATTTGAAAATCATCACCTGACGATTTTGTTTTGTAACTGACCTTGATATCCCTGATCATCCGGACCAAAATTGGCAGCAGGAATTGTAATGAGTAGTAAATGCGGCTAGTGTAATATTTACCACACCATCTTTCAAGTACCAGTAAAACTACTACCACCACCACCACTACAATAACTAAAATAATGTCACTTCTATATGTTTTACCATCGGAGTAGACAGGGAGTCGCGAGCCAGAGGTTTGGCGCCGCATGGCTGCTGCTGGGGCCATGGACTTGTCAGGCTAAAAGGTGTAATTTCATTCATCGACAAAAAAAAAAAAAAAAAGGCCATCAGCTTACCGGCGGTCTCCGGCATGACAGCACTACGGTGTAACCGCCCAACAAAAACTACTACTACTTTGAGTGGGTGAGGCAGTTACTGTGACTTAAGCTCTCTCAATTAACAGTCTGTTCCCCCCTCCCCTACCGCCAAATTCTCCACTCTTTCCCTCATCGAAGTAGCTGGGGGAAAAAAGTGAAAAGCAACGAACAATTAAAAAAAACCAGCTTAATTCCAACGCAATATCAGACGAAGTAATTAAATCTAAATGAAAATAAGTGGAAATCTATGAAAATGCATCGTAACAATGCAATTGGAAAGTGAAATTAAATCATAAGTATGCGAACTTGTCAAATTTAATTAACTGGTTTACCCACATACTGGGATTCTAACCCTGGAGTCAAGTGTTCTAACCCGTTCAACCAACCAACCACTCCTTCTGATTTCGAAAAGACAAGCAAAGTATTCAAGATGTATGTCCCGACTACTGTGTCCTGATTTTAACACAACTCAGAACCGCTGGCAATTGTTTTTTTCATAAACAGATATCCCAGAAATGAACTTCAAGTATTATTGAAACGTCACAACAATAGAAATCACACATGTCTAACACGGTTAATGTCGCAATCATTGTTTGCGCAGACATAGAGATAGTCTTCGATGAGCTCCCCCCCCCCCCCCCTGCCCCCCCCCCATCTGGTATTAAAACAAACATATATCCTGAAAATTTCAGCTGAATCGGTTTAGTAGTTTCCAAGTCTATAGGTAATAAACACACAAACATATATATATATATATATATATATATATATATATATATATATATATATATATATATAGATCTAGCTCGTCATACGACTAACTGTGTTTTAAATGATCTAAAGAGGTGCAGCTTCTTCTAAAATTAAAAACGGGACTTTACTGGAGAGCCAGAAACCCAATGCCAGTATTCTGCTCAACGACTTGCATTGTTCAGGCACCGAGAATACTCTCCATGACTGTCCATACAGTCTGCTGAACGACTGCTCTCACGACCAGACTGCTAGCCTGGAATGCTCTGAGGATATACGTGAGTTGTTTCTTTTTCCTCTTCTGTGTTTTGTCTTAAAAGGCCACTTGGCACATTATGTTGTGGTTTACAGCTAGGTTGCTCCCCATTCCCCATCCCCCTTCTTAAAATGATGCCTAAACAAGAACAAAGTAAATCCTTTGAACTGTGAGTGATCCCGGCAACTCTTGAATCTGTGTTATATGTTTCTAATTAAATTTGCATTTGTCGGCCTAACACATCTCATTTCAGCAAACCCCTAATTAATCGCCTTTTACGATATGCTTGTCAGGAGGCAGTGGATATATTCACCCCCCCCCCCCCCCAGGTCCAGGAACCCACCTCAGAGAAGGAAATAGAGATGAATGTTGTAATCGTGGCCCACGTTTGCGGCGAAATAATGTTGGCAACGAAAAATCAATGTATGAATTTCAACAAGTTTACAGTGCAAAAACTTGTGTGAAGGTTATACCTGTATCGTGTGATTCCTTAATAACATTCAGAGCGTTCACGGTAAGCATCACATACGTCATTTAATTCTGTCATTTATTATTTTTATTATTTTTTTATTTACTTACGTATTTTTGAATTCTGTAATGTAGTCATTTCAGTCGGTTTTGCATAAGCTGGGTTTTATTTCTGTTGTTGTTCGGTTAGTTATCTAGATAGTTAATCGACAGGTTATCATCATTGCACGTCGGACAAGTCCGTAAGCGATCGGATTCCATCTTAAGTATAACCACAGCGTGTGGCCACTGATAACACCAGTTCTGTGTTGATTTACTATTTTTCTTTGGCTGCCTGTATATTCATGTGTGGTCACGCCTCTTTTAACTTGAAGTTCTTGTAGAATTGTGTGTGTTGCCAACTCAACGTTGTCTCTTGAATAATCTTTTCGTCCTACCCCTTTAGAGCACTGATAATGTCGGTCTTGTCCATTGCTTTTCCTGTACCTACCGTGGCCCTGCCCGCAAGCCAATCCGCTCGTTCATTCCCTCTTACCCCAGAGTGTCCTGACACAAAAAACTAATCCCTTTCAAACGAGATTTAATCAGCGACTCCAACCATTTTCTTCCAATCCACCCTGTCTCTATCTTCTTAAGCATGATCATAGAATTACTAAGAAAGCATACATTGTGAAAATGCTGTTCGGTTGATGAAGGCTAATAGCCACAAAGAATATTATTTTTATTTTTATTTTTTTATTATCTGTAATTGTGTCAGTTTGACAGACACTTTTTCCCCCTTCCCTTTGCTATTTTTTCATTTCCCCCATTTTGTTTTTAGGATACAAAAGCAACAACAAAAACTGAACGTAGTTAACTGGTAACCAAAATCAAGTGCACAAGTCCTCGGGATTTATAAGCAGAAAATGTGCCTTTTTTCAAGATAAAACAGGCAATGGCGATGAGGATCGAAAATGACTGCTCAGTATCTTTCTTACTAACGCTTTTTCTCCAAGAATACGCCTTTGCGCCTCACAATTAAACTCAGCTAAGTTCTTTGATAAAATGGTAATACAACTTCTAACTCAGAGTGCCACATGAAAGTACGGCATACTTCACAAACGTTGAGAAAGACAGACGACAGATAAATGAGACAACAGAGTCATGACGCCTGAGCGTCCCTCCACAAAGGCAGAATGTACTAACTGTTACTACTGTCTGTCTATACTAGAAACTACAAACTGTCAATACTATCTGTCTACTGTCTGTACCTACCACCTTTTAGGGCGGTAAACGGGGGGGGGGGGGGGAGGGGGGGCCCTTTAGGGCCGCAAAACTAGTGCTGTCGCCACGGACTGTGCAGACTGGCATGTTTAATTTTGCCATAACAGAAAAATCCCATCAGCTTACTAGGGGTCAAACCCAGGTCTCCCGCACGAAATCCCGACATTGCAACCGCTCGGAGGGCCGCTGCTCTGACTGTATTATCCGCACCGGTCAAAAGATACAAGATGTCATGCAGCATCCTTGCTTCTCTACTCCTAACCCAGCTTAAATGCCAGGAGCTGCTGCTATTTCTAAGACACATCATTATAAATAGTGTGTACTTGACCCGAGTGACTTCCATCACCCACAAGGAAAGGCGGCTACCAACCATGTGGTTTGCTTTTAACACATCACGCAAAAGTGTCGCAACTTACTAACTCTTTAATCTGTTCCCTGTATGTTTCTGGCATATAAAATATCAACTATTGCTATCAGTTCTTCTGATGCGCATTATTTTGTAGAACGCTTTTTACTTTTAGAATTGAAATAGTTTTTTCCAGAGACTCCTAAATCTGTTTATAAATATTTTATGTTATTGATCCTGGATGCATTAAAATATAGGCAGGTTAAAAAAAAAAAAAAAAAACTTTCATTGATAGAAAAAGCTATGTTTTAAAATAAAATACTAAATGAAACGGAAAAAAAGTATATAATGACCGAACTGGATAAATTAAGCTTTAAAAACAATAAAGATAGAAAAAGACTAAATGAAAACTGGCTTCACATCAGAAGTATACATAAGTCACAGCAAACGGGGCTGTTCCATAAGTCAAGGCTGTTCAAAAAGATTTGCTCAGGGGCCACAGTTTTGAAAATGGGGATTGTCACGCGCCAGGGGCCTGAGCTCTAACATGGAAAATTAATATAATACAACTGACAGTGATCAGCGGACCACTTGCTATCCTCTGCGGGCAAGATCTGGTCCGCAGACCGCTAGTTGAATAGCCCAGCCATAAGTGAACTCTTCCTGCGCCAAGAAAAACTCCATATAATGCCTCTCAGTCCCGTCTGTCAAGCTGAACAGACTGTACTAGACAAAGCGAATTGCCTACACACGAACTGAATACACAAGACAGTCGTCAGAATGCTAACACCAACAAACTACAACTAGAATTGCAGTTTACTGTGAATGGAAGCAGTCGTTACGAAAAACTAGCTGTTGCATATACACTGTCGCATAGATCATCAACAACTTTGTGGCAACAAGATACCCGCCATATTCTCAATATGCATTCTAGAACATAAACAAACTTGGGCAAGTTGAAAGGCATTCTAAATGCATAAAAACCACAACTCAGGGAGTCGCAAAATGCTCTCAGCTCAGTAGCAGGGTGAGAGAACCATGCACCTTAAGTCACATTCAAGAAAAATGCTCCGCCAAATCGCTGGTACAAACTAATACTACCAATTCTTCAACGGGCCGCCCGCCCATCTGCCAGATTCCACCAGAAATTCTCTATTATAGCAAGTAAAATTAGTAACTTTAAGGCTTATTGTAGGAACTACACGTAGCATGATCAACAAATTGTGCTGTTATGATAGGAAATCGTAAATGCAAAAGAAAGAAGCAGATACATTGGTAAACAGTAAACAATATTTTATAACTGACAGAAAAATAAATGTTTAAAATATAATTCATGGCAATTCATTTACTGTTCCTTGTTTTCCTTTCCAGAGTGCCCTAAAAACTGGAGGTTAGGATTCAACAAGTGCTACAAGTTTTTCACCAAGGCAAAGACAATCCAACAAGCTTCGAGTATTTGTGCAAATGACAATGCCAGTCTCGTAGTCATCGATTCGATAAAAGAAAATCACTTCTTATCCAATATTTTACACAAGTCATTGCCACGTGAGTAATTTTTTTTTTCTTGGTGAAAATTATTATATACAATTACTGTTTTTAAGCAGGTTTTTTTCTTTTCGAGACGTACAGAAAAAAATGAACGAATTAATCAAGAAACAGAACGTGTATTGATCGGCACTTATAGAAAGAAGTAGAAAGATAGAAGAACACATTAGACCACATAAAAATCGAAACTATACTTACCGTGCTGGTAATCGAACCTGTCACCTCCAGGCGGCGTGTGCGCCTCGCCATGAAATCAAGTGCACTAAGAACATGGTCAACTAGCCCCCCCCCCCCCCCCCCCAAAGGTGTCTTATTGGCCATGTCTATCGTACAGCTTGAAATCCACAACTATGGAATACGGACAGAATCAATTTCAAAATATTGAAATGGCACCATAGGTTACAGAAATTTATATTAACGAAGCATATGTCGAATAACAATCACAGCAACAATTTACGAACACAGTAGACCTTAATACTTTGTCTATAATACACAAAGATTTAAGAAAGGTATTTGACTGGTAAGTTCCGGTGTGTATACAAAATTCTGTAACCTATGGTGCCATTTCAATGGTTTGAAATGAATTCCGTCTGTATTCCATAGTTGTGGATTTCAAGCTGTACGATAGACATGGTCAATAAGACACATTTTTTTGGGATTGCCTAGTTGACCATGTTCTTAATGCATTTGTTACTATGGCGAGACGCGTACGCCGCCTGGAAATGACAGGCTGTTGTCTAGTGTGTTCTTCTATCTTTCTACTTCTTTCTACGAGTGCTGATCAATACACTTTCTGTTACTTGATTAATTCGTAATATTTAACGGCCTCAAAGGTCCCTCCCCCCCCCCCCGTTTATTTATAGAAATGACGTATATACACCGGAACCTACCAATCAAATACCTTTCTTAAATCTTTGTGTATTCTAGACAAAGCATTAAGGTCTACTGTGTACGTAAATTGTTGCTGTTATTGTTATTCGACATATGCTTATTTAATTGTATTTACATATAATTTGCAATGCGATCTATTCGTCTGTATATGATGACATTTTCATGGATTCATTTCTGCTTTATAATTGCTTGATCGTTGTTGCAAGGATTTTTGCAACGTGTTGAAAAAAAAAAGTTATTTGCACGCTTTCAGATCTCCACCGGTGGTACACAGCCGGAAGGAAAGATCACAATGTGTGGCAGTGGAAGAATGCTGTCCCGGAATACGCTGTGGAAAATCTAGTCTTGGACGACATAAATCAAACAAAAAAGTCAGTGCCGATGGACTTGCCATTTACCAAATGGTTTCCAGGTGAAATTATTGACGCGTGATCTGTCCTCAACAAAATCATTATCATCATTAACACCATGCATGCTGATTGTTTGCCTGGAATAGGCGTCTGGTTTTT